GGGAGGCCGGGCTGGACACTGCAGCATCTCACACTCCTCATCTGGGGTTTGGATGTGGCTCTGGCAAACTCGGACTCCTGCGAATAGAGGGACACACTTATGTGATAAATGTTTCTGAAAATTAATTCAGATGACAATAAAGAAGATGGAGGGACTAGAAGGAAATCCGTTGGGAACAAAATTGAAGATGTAGGAAAAGAGCTGCTTGTTTGGAGAGTGAGTTGCAAGTAGCTGACACAGATGTGTTTGCAGATGTTGAGTAGACATTTAGAAATACAGAAAACAACCTAGGAGGGACTGACTGGCCTGAGCTTTCGCAGGTCTCAGAACTATCCTCGGGTCTAGGGTTTCATACTCTTCTGTGATCACTGACTGTATCACTCTGATATTTTCTTATCTACTGTAACATTCTATTGCAAAGCCTATTGCATCATTTCTCCCTTCCTTTTGGGCCACTGGTCCTTGACTTGTGATTATGAGCTCAGAAACGGTCCTCTCGGAGGAGGCTCGGCTGCTGGCGTTATCTTGGCTTCCTTTCAGTGGCCTGTGTCAAGGGAATTGGTTTGAAAGTAAAAAGTGCATCTCTGTGCTTTTGGCAAATAGAATCAGAGCTCTGTCCTTTCCTGCTACACTTGACACCCTTTTAATTTCTCAGGTCCTTCTAATCCCTTCGTTTTCTGTTTTCTCTGTCTCAAAAGTGCATGGACCCTTGTGATTGCTTCCTGGCACCTTGACTAGTACAAATGCTTCATGATGGCAACACTCCTGACTATACTTTTGTCTTCTAAATATGGGAGAAAAGCAGAAAAATCTATGGCACTTCACTTTACATTCTTTTATGTAAATGTGCATTTGGTATATTTAGAAACCTTAAGTTAGTTTTTGATAAATACTTTAGTGCTTCTCTTTAAAAAAAATTGAATAAACATTTGGTACTTTATTGTGTTATAAATTAATGGTATATCAATTGAAATAACTATTGTGATATTAATTGTATTATATAATAGATTCAGGTTTCAATGTGCTTAATTTAAGTAAATTATATAAAATTGTAAATGACTTGATGAAAAGTTAAGAATAAAAGTTATTTCTCGGTATATTCATATCTTGCAGCTCTTTACACATAAAGCTAATTTTTGTCCTCTATTGCATGTTGCATTTTGCCAAAGAATCCTTATTAATGCCAGTGATATTCTTCATAATGGTTAACTTTCCAAAATAAAGATTATTATTAAAGAGAAAATGGAAGTTCTTAATTAGAAAGCATACTGGGCTTTGAAATTAATAGAACTTTTCAAAGATTCATTTTTCTTATGCTCTAAGTCTATTTGTTCTGGTGTTATTTGTACTTTTTTTGTTTGTTTGTTTATGAATGTTTGCTGTTGTTTCCTGCATAATTAAATTTTTACTTTAAAATCTTGAAATAATTCCAGCCCTTCTACAGTGTACAAGTGTAGATTTCAGGCAAATTATTGTTAGAGTTCGAAATTAAATTCAAAATATATGTACACTATTTCTTCAACTGACTCCTTGATACGGTTACTTTAAATACACTATAACTTAGTTATTCAAAAGTGTTCTTCTCTGAATTGTAAAGTATATATAACAATTCTCTTTTGGAAAATGATTATGTAATAATTTTAACAATGTAAGAAAGGAGCCATGTAGAACATGCTCTGTTCATGTGTTGCCAACAGATTCAGGTTTTAAATAAGCTTCATTCTTCTACAGTAGGAATGTTTAAAACATGAATGATGCTTGCATGTGGCTAAAAAAGCGATGATGACACCAGATTTATGTCAAGAAAGACTGAAGAGTTGAGGCAGCCAGTTTGTTCACTGGCACAGTGTGTACGAACAGATGAGCTCTCCAATATCTGCCACTCACTAGACAACTACATTTGTTTTTAGGTTCAATGGTAAATGGATGGGGCTCTGCATCTGATGAGGATCGTAACTTTTCTAGTCGTAGATCTAGTGTAGGTAGCTCCTCAGATGGCTCCATCTTTGCCAGCGGCAGTTTTGCACAAGCTCTGGTGGCAGCAGCAGATAAAGCTGGCTTTAGGCTGGAGGGAACCAGCCTTACGAGAACAGGTTGGTAGACTCCAAGTCAACACTCTTTGCATGAGAGAATCTTGTTCTTTCGACACTGAGCTGTTTTTCTTCTGTCCTTTCTCCTCAGTGAGTCTGGTTGAAAGGATTTCTTTAATATGCATGACCATAGTTTGGGTGCTTAATTACCAGAACTCTTCTGATGCTAGTTTTGCAGAGCCAAGAATAGGCTCCTACTCAACACTTTCCATCCTTTATTTCCCTTTCCCTTCATGGTTCTGCTGATTAATTGGAATATGCTTCCTTTTTATATTACAGCAAAGCTGCAACTAAGATTGCCATTAAATTTTCAATAACTCACACTTTGCAAAATTCTCACAGAATCAATAATATACCCAGTGATTAAAATTATTCAGCTTTTATCTTCATTACTTTCCTTTGCCCCATTTCTTTCTGTAAATGCATTTTCTGGGAAGGCTTTCTCAGCATGGGGTGAATGGGCCCAAGGCTATCAGTCTAGCAATTCAAATGGCTGATGGTATTATTGGTTATTTGGCTGTTAAAATTCTAATCCAATAACTTATCGTTTGTTTTAAAAGATGCTAATAAAAGATACACCCACTGCATTTGCAAGTTGAAAAAAAAATGATGACTACATGTGTGCTGGTATTTAACATAATCTAATTTTGGCTTCTGAGAATAATAAGTTATAATATAAAAGACCAATTATGTAACTTCTCATACATCTGATCATTCCCCCAAATAAATGTGGGGTTCACTCTAATAACAGATCAGTAATTTATCATCATTTGTTTTACTGAAACAAAATAACTTTGGCATGATGCATGTTATTATATGACGACTTATACTTCTTAAATGCATATATAATAAGGCTCTAATATATGAATTAAACTTAGCTACCTTACAAAAAAACTAATGAAATTCTAAATCCATTTTTGAAATGTTAATAGTACCCAAATAATAAAGTAAAAATGATTTTGACCCTGCACTAAACTCTAAGGTTATAAAAATGAGTCTTGGAAATTGTCTTTGCAATATATAATCAGTATTTCCTTTGAGTGCACATTAGGTATCTTCAAATAAAAGAGAAAGATTTTCCAAGCATTGCAAAGGTTTATGTTTTATATAGCATCTGGACTAAAATATGTTGTAATATAACTGTTATTTGAATTTTCTTGCTTTATAAGGCATTAAGTCAGAATCTTTATGTTGCCTGAGTGTTTTTGTGGCATAGCTATAAGCAGAGCAGTGAGAAAGTGCAAGGAAACTAATAAATTAGAAGGCATAAGTGCATTTCTTGCATGTAAGCTAATAGCTAATAAAGCATTAAGCAATATTATGTCACACTGACTTAAGAAAATGTAACTACATTTCATACAATAATCTCGTATGAAATGAAAACACGCACAAGAGAATATATGCACATAAACCAACCCTCTCCTACCATAACAAACATGATATTAAAATTAAAAGATGTTGAAAATTTATTCACAAACCTATTCCCAGAATAGATTTCCCTACACATGTACACAAAGCCACAAGAAAAAGACATAGCACATCTCATTTTTCAGTGAGAATTTGGAGTCTGCTCAGATACAATATTATTCACAGAAAACACCTCTTGCACTTTGGATATACAAGGTGGTTTTAACCTGCTATCTGTCCTGTACTATACACTAATGATACTGAGTTTCTGCTAAAAGAGGTACATTCATCCTGTGTGTGTATGGGCGGTGGGGTCAAATTAATATATGTGTCTGAGCAGACCTTTCATGTAAAATTTCAAATGTAATTACTACAGTACATTTTTCTGTACTCAAGGAGAGTTTTGGGGACTCCAAGGGTGAACTTTGATTAAACAAATAAGACAGTACTTAATTTATTTCAGAAGTAGCTTCTTTAATTTTAAGAAGTAAAAGCTGCATGAATTTGCAGATATCTGTGAAAATATTACTAAGATTATCAAGGTTAAATAAAATGTAGTCCCATAATACCGAGTTTTTGATTGGTGGATTTGTTTTATACTCATTTATTTTAATTTTTTCAGTGGGTAGTATGTTGGTTTTTAAAAATTGCACAAGACAAACGCATCAGGGCATACATTTTTCTGTGGAGATGCACCAGTATTTGGCATCTTCAAATGGCATCTCTAAGCAGGTTTTCATGTTAGAGAGAGCAGAAATACAAGACAGACAGAATCAGCATCTTAAAATAACATTCTCTATACCCCATTCCCTTTATTTTTGTTTTTTTAGGCAAAGCCTTTACCTCCTCTCAAAGACCTCGACCAACCAGCCCATTTTCTACTGACAGTAGCACCAGTGCAGCCCTGAGTCAAAGTCAGAGGCCTAGGCCGACTAAAAAACACAAGGGAGGGCGAATGGACCAGCAGCCAGCGTTGCCTCACCGAAGGGAAGGGCTGACAGATGGTAGGTTTGACTCCGTCTTTCTGGTCTCCTCACTGGAGAGCTCTGCTCTGTGCCATTGATTTAGGTTGAAGTAGCTGTGGTAGGTTAGGCATTCCCATTATATAACCAGGCAGAAAACCTGGCAATATGTCTTGTTTAAATAAAATGCCCTCTTTTCAACAGTCTGGAATTATTTCTATATTACCAAGCCCAGAGAACTAGATGCCATACCGCTTTTCAACGTTGATTGTTCTGCCATTCTGGCATCATCCGTTAATGCTTTATAGTGAATATTCCCTTCTAAGCTTAGGAAAATAAACATCAGTAGCATGTGAACTTGCCATGTTGTTGAAAGATTTTCTATATTAAACTATTTTCGGCGTTATTTTACTTCTGAAAAATACTGTGATTATAGGAGTTTTAGGAGTTTTTTAGTTTTGTGAATTCCAGGGCTAAAAGCATGCTATAGATCATCTAGTTGATGGATCACCAAACTTTTTTTCTGAAAAGTCCAATTAATAAATATTTTTGGTTTTAGCAAGCCATATAGTTTTCTGTTACAGCTACTCAACACTGCCATCGATGTGCCAGTGCAGACAAAGAAAAAAATTACTGGATGGATATGACTGATTTCCAATAGACTTTAGTAACAAAACAGGCAGTGGCTGAATTTTTCCAGAGGACCATAGTTTGATGATCTATTTCAGCCCTCTTATTTATGTACAGCATACATCTTTGAGTATTTGCTTAACCACTTCTAGTTTCAAGGAACACAATGGAAAATGTCCTTGTTCTATAATGAGTAATTCATGAGCTCTGCAAAGCAGGAATTATTTCCCATATATTCAACCTAATGCTCGTGTATTTAAAAATAGGAATAAAAATATTTATTTTTAAGTGTTATTCTAAGGAATTTGTAAGATTTGTTACTCTTAGTATAACATTGGACCCAAAGGTAAATTTCTTTCTTCTCAACACTACTCCCTAAAAGCACACAAACTTTATCTTGAGATAGTTTTACTAAATGCCAATAGTAAATTGTGTTCTGGGGTGAAAAGCAGTCATGGGCATTTTTTAAGCTCCACGGGTGAATCTAACCTGCTCTAGGCTTTGAGAAGCTATGACAAGTCGTCAGCATTCACTATAGGGCAGGGTGAGGCTTAGTTGGAAAAGAAGTATTTGTTCTTTATTAGTGTGGGTGGGGGAAGGGGTGTCTGGCAATCATTTTTCTGCTTTCTATTGTCATCTTATAATGTTAGGATTTTAAAGCCAAACATGTTCGAAGAGCTTTCAGGTTTACTTATCTATCCCCCTTACTTTGATTTCATTGGGAAATGTTTCTGTGGATCTGAGGTAAGCGTACAATTGAGATTTTGATTCTCTATAAATGGACACCCTGTGGTCAGGAAAAATGCTCACCGCTGCCTTTCTGCCTCAGATGCTCTGAAGATTAGCTGAGTGCTCAAAGCAGTCTGTAGTGTTGATCTTACTCCCTCTGAATAAGAAGGGTGACTCTCACTGATATGCCGGTGATAAATCTCAGAATGTGTCATTTTGCTGCTATGAATGTTATGGAAAGAGAAAAAAAAATCCAAGTATATGTTTTCCTGTGGCTTTTTCAAATTCTTTGAAGATCATATCCAGAATATGTGGAAGGACATAATATATAAATCAAGAAAATAGAGAGCTCTCTTCTTTCTTCCTAGAACACTTTTCTTGCAAGCTTTTTTAAGAATGTCTGGTTAAAGCCAACTATCTTCTAGTTAAAACGTGGTGAACACATTGTTTAGCTTCCTAAGAAACAAATAGCTTCCTAACTTTTCAAATTTGCCAGCATTCCAAAAAGGGGTTATGGATTTTGTGTTCATAGTGAATACTTTTGAGAGTAGTGATACTGCAAAGGAAATGTTGGCTTGCATGTCTTCCCAAGTGTTTGACCCAAAGACCTTTTAGTTATGATACAAGGATGTTTATTTTGTATGGTACCTCACAGATTATCCTTAAGGATATTAGTATTTTACAGCAATTGTATGTATAATAACATGTATGTACTGCAAATCCATGTATCAGTAATGTTTTTATAATATTTGCAGATAAAACCCAAGTGTTCTTTTTGGAAAGGTTGCTGTTTAGTAGAACTTAGTGCATAGACATTTCATACTGAAATGTTTGCATTATTTACAGTCGTGTTTTATAAGTATATCCAACAGTCATTTTTGCCAGCTGCTCTACCAAACAACTTCTGCCCCTCAGTGGCTCAGCACAGGAAAAGTTTGTTTCTCACAGACACAGTGCTTTTTGTAAAGGCCACGTGGCTCTCCTCTAAGTAGTAAGTAAGGATGTGTGCTCCTTTGGTGTTGGGATACCATTATTTCCAAGATGGGGGACCTTTATGGTTTCTGAGTAAAGAGGAGACAGAACATGGGGAGTTCCATGGCCAAGCCAGCAAGTAGAACATATCAGTTTTCTTATTTCTGTGGGAAGAACTTTGTCACATGGCATCAAACTAACTACTGGAGTGGTGAAGTCATCTTTGTGTTTAGTAAGAGGAATTTGGAATGGTGGGAAATGTCAATCTCTGTTCCAAAGCCTATGCAAACACGCCCCCACACATTAAGGAGTGATCTTCTCCCTTGGATAAAGTGTCTCCTTAGCAGGCATTGCTCAGATTAAATCTATTCCATTTGCATAAGCCCAAGAATACCCTTTAAAGCCAATACATCAACCAATGCCAAACAAAAAATAGGTAAAGAAGGTACTTCTCTGTTTGTCAACCTTTCTTCCTCAATCATCTCTTTTCAGCCCTCCCCCTCCCCCCATTCTGAATATCCCATTCAGGTTAAGGGGCTCTTTCACAGACTAGCTTTGATCATTGAGCACATTTCTTTATTTATTAAACTGTTCATTCAAATATTTATTAAGCTCACACCAAATTATAGGCAGTGGGAATGAAACAGAAAAAATCCCTTGCCCTCCTGGAGCTTACATTCTGATGGGAGAAGATACATAGATAAAATTTCTTTTAAAAAAGTAAAGTGGTAGCAAGTGTCATGGAGAAAAAATATAAGCTGGAAATCAAGAAATACAAAGGTGGCAGAGACATATTTTAAGTACAGTGCTCAGAAATGATCTTACCAAGAAGATGACAGGCATGCCTGTGCATGTATGTGTGCATATTAAGGCAGGAGGAGTGACATGATCTTTTGTTTCTATAAAAAGGTCACTCTGGTTGTTTTATGGAGATAGACTGAATGTGGAAGCGCAGACACCACATGGGAGGGTGTAGGAGTTACATAAGGAATAGATGCTAGCGGTTCACGCCAAGCTAGAGTTGGTAGAAGCAATGAGAAAGGCTGAATTGGGTATAGTGTGAAGGTAGAGCTCACAGGGTTTGTGAATAAAATTAAATTGACTGTAAAGCAGGAAAGTCAAAGACTACACCAGAGTTTTGGCAAACTTACAAGATGGAATTGCTACTAACTGAGATGAGGAACACATCAGAGGGAACACATATTATAGAGGGAGATCTAGAGCTCAGGTTGGATATGTGAAATTTGAGAGGCCTTCTAACCATTTAAGTCCAAATCTTCAGTGTAGATTTAGTTACATGAGTTGAGAGTTTATGGCAGGAGAGATCCAGGCTGGAGATATGTAATTTTTTCATGTCTTTGTTTTCCTAACCTAAAAAAAAAAAAAAAAA